TGTTCTGGGCTCAACCGAGCCCAAAAGGCCTCACCTTGTGCAAGTCATGCGAGAACGACTTGCCGCAAGAAGTGAAAAGCTGCTTCTCAGCAAACGCGGGAAGACACACACATATTCGACCAAAAAGGTTATGGCTTTAAGGTCCAACCCAGTAGCCGACATAGAAAGTCCCTTCGCCATTACCCAGCGCGGATCCAACAATTAGGGCGGTCCCAAACCAGGGATTTTTGAACATCACCCCACTCCTTGGAAGCTCACTCAAAACTGGCAAAAGATGATGCTTCACACCGCCAAAGCGGGTTTAAGTGGCTTTGTCCCAAACTAGGGGGGCCAATCTTCTCCCTTTGGTCTTCCTTTCAAAGGACCCCCCCCAAAAAAAAAATGGGAAGGCACCGCATCAACCAACAAGGAAGAGGACAAAAAACACGAAAAAGGACGCCCCAGTAAGCCGACGCCGAGCTCCCGGCGCGCTGCGCCAAGCAGAGGACCACCGCGTCACCAGGCGCCGGCATCGGCGAAAAAGCAACGCCCTGGCGTCTCGAAACGCGCGGCGGCTGAAAGGAAGCCAAAGGAACAACACCTCCGGCGCCAAAAACCTAAAAACCGGAGGCTCGGCCGGAAGGAAGCCAAAGGAACACCATGGAAATGTGTTGTTTTGCTTGAGGGTGCCCTTTTCAACTTGACTTAAAGGGAGGCCAGAAAGGGGAGAGCCGGCCTTTTCGGCCAGAGACAACCAGGCCCAGAGCCACCCCACAGGCTGCCACGCATCCCCGGAGCTCATCCGAACCTCCCCCCCTTCCCCCAACATCACCTCGGGGGTGACGATGCAAGCCACAGTCAAACCGAAACAGGGTTGTGGGATCAAGGGGTTTATCCTCACTTCTGTGATACAAGGGAATCCCCTCTTTATATGGGGGGGTAGTCTTTGGGAAGCCCTGTTGTTGTATCAGAGAAGTGGACAGCCCTGAACTGAAAGAATGGAGGCACTTCACGTCGCACAAGTTCCTCAAAACGCGCCGAAGACTTTGGGCCGATTCCCCGGTCCTAGCGTTCTGTTCAAACACCGTTTTTTTTCTGGGACTTGTTCTAGGTCCTCGAGTAGAGAGGCTAGAATAAGGGTACCAACCATTCTGCAGTCTATTTTCGTAGGGAAACCCTCCCAACCACAAAAGGGGCTTTTTCAGCGCACCTAGGGGGACCCAGAGTTTCATTCTCGACCCGGGCCCACCTCTGCTTCTGCGCCGTCAGGGCGCGCTGCCGTCCCGCTGCGCCATGCCTCGGTGCAAAGAAAACTCCATGGCTTGACCTCGCCTCCAGGGCGACCTATGGCAGGGCTCTGAATTTCGACGACCACCTATGGCATGGCGACCACTTATGGCGACCACCTATGGTCGGTCTCCCATCTGGTGGTTTGGAGTCGTTTGGAGGTTCCGGTTGCGTGGCGCTTCCTTATCCTTCCAAGAGTCCCATCCAACCCGAAGACCTGCGCTGGCTTCAGGCAACCGTCGGGGAAACCCCTTAGGTCAGGCTCGTGTTGTTTGAACACAGTATCTTTCAGTGTGACCACTGAAGCATCTAAACACCCCTTCCGCTTCCCTCGCTTCCCCCTCTTCAAATTCAGAGGCCTGGTTGACTCATGATCCGCTTTCCAACAAGCATGAAAGTGGACGGGCCTTCTTCAAAAGAAAGCTTCCGTCTTCCAAGCCCCTCTGCCATGATTGACGGGTAAGGGTTCTAATAACATAGCCCTCCTAAAACCCAAGCAAAGGGTCTCTCAGAATCTGTGGGGGGGTCCTATGAACCCCGGTCCCCTTCAATGAATGATTGGCTTCCTTCTACGGTCTAAATTCCAATCACCAAAAGGGGTCCGAAATCCCAATTGAGAAACACTCACTCCGCGAGGTGTTTGATCAATTCGGTCCAGATCAAAGCCATAGCCTTTGCAAAAGCTCATGCGAACCCCGGACACCGTGAACCAGCATAGCGAATGATAAATTGATCAGCCCCATTTTGAGAACCCCGCAAATTTGCAGGGGTTCCGTGGGTTTTCCTCCCCAAGGGCCCCAAAAGCGCTACCCTCAAGAATGTCAGGCCCAAGGCCCCCGGCCACTCGCCGAGGCAAAGCTTCGCCAACTCCACCGCCGCACATCGCCGCGCGCTCGCCGCCGCCACACACCGCCGCCACCCGAAAAGCACGCGCCGCGCCGCGCGCTTCGCGCGCGACCGCACGAGCTCCCGCAGCTGCCACCTGGCTCTCGGGCGGGGCGAGGCCTGAACCTGGCTGGGACAATTGGGGAAAATGGGAGTAAGGGGCAACCGATGGCAACCGCTTGTGGGCGCTTGCAATCGCTTTCTGACACAGCGACGCATCCGGCCAAGACACCCTTTCTACTTTGACCTTTCCGCTACACATCCGGGGCGCTTCTCGAAGACTAGGTCCTCCAGTAGAGAGGTTAGAATAAGGGTACCCTTTTTCTGTCGTCTATTTTAATAGGGACCCCCCAAAAAAAATGTAAAAGGGCACTACTGATGAACCTAGAAGAACCCCCAGGAACAACCCCAGAGCCACATCCAGTCCGACCCGGCCCAACCTGCGGCGCCAGCGCCTGAGCGCCTTGAAGCGCCGGTTCCAGGCGCAGGCGGCCGCCAGGGCGGCCCCGTGCTGCCGCGTGTGCTGGCGCCAGGCGCCCAGCACCAGGACACTGAGGGCTCGGTCCTGGCGACGTGCGCTGGTGGTGTGTGGGGTGGGGTAGGGTAGGGTGGGGCGGGGCGGGGCGGGGCGGGGCGGGGCGGGGCGGGGCGGGGCGGGGCGGGGCGGGGCGGGGGCGGGGCGGGGCGGGGCGGGGCGGGGCGGGGCGGGGCGGGGCGGGGCGGGATGGGGTGGGGTGGGGTGGGGTGGGGTGGGGTGGGGTGGGGTGGGGTGGGATGTTCCAGGACTTTGCCACTGTCAGAGTCACCCCTTACATGGTAGCCGCTGAAGGAATCTCTGACCTTTGATACCTGTTTAGGAAGAGTCAACATAGTGACTGGTAAGGGAAAATGCTAAGCCGAGGCTGGCAACACACGAGATGGGGAAACTCCTACCTCAAGGGCGCGGGGGGAGGGGGGAAGGGTGTTTAGGAGTAGGTTCAAAGGAGGTGGTTGCCCAGTGACCTATTGCAGACTCTGTGTCACACCTAGTAGCTGAAAGCTATGGGGTCGATAGGCCCAAATAGGCCCCGGAGTGGTTCAGAGCAGCTTTGGGCCAGGGAATAGTTCAGGGGGGTTGTTGGGGATGCCACCTGGGCTTTTTATTTTATTCTATGTGTTTGTGTTGTTTTTAGTTTGCTTTGTTCTTTCTTTCTTTTTTTGGGGGGAAGGGTGCCTTATTACTTTAAGGGCATCAAGAATTCAGAATGTGGGAATGAAGGCTTGGACTGCCTTTACCAGACACGTTTGTTCCCAGTAACCAAAAACGATCTGCGACACGCACACGCACACACGCACACACGCACACACGCACACACGCACACACGCACACACGCACACACACACGCACGCACACGCACACGCACACGCACACGCACACGCACACGCACACGCACACGCACACGCCCACACACACACACACAATCCGTTGGTCCTTCCCCCGCGTTGATGGAACCTTCTGCAGCTGCAGCTCCCGCTTCCGCCGGCGCGGCTTCGCTTCGAGCGCTTCGAGCGCTTCGAGCGAGTCCACTTGGACGGCTTCGACTCTCAGCGACACCCGGCGCCCTGGGGTCTTGACCTCTGTACTCAGCAGCTGCGTCAACATGCGCGACGAATTCCCCACCGCAGTGAATTTGTGAAACCGGACCGGAAGAGCCCGGTTTGAAATCTGCTAAGATTTGATGGAGAAATCCTCATGCGATGGGCCCCACGAGAAATCAGGGAAAACATGTTACCGCAGTAACCCAAAGTCGAGGGATTCAGAGGGGCGAATCCGACTGTTGCGATTGTCTCATATTCTGCCCGCCGATTAAACTCCCAAGACCGCTGAAACATGGGATCTGCGGATTTTTCTCCGAACCTTCATGGCTTTCGCGAGCCGTTCGGCCCAAGTGTTCGTTCGGAAGATACATTTGGCAGAGCCATGACCATGACTTGGTAGCATTGATCCCCTACCGATTTTAATTAGCCCGGCCGGGGTTTGGGCCGAAAACAGCTACGTTTGGCCAAAATGCGCGGCCAATCGCGCCAGTCTGTGCGCCAACTTCGTGCAACGATTGTCCAACAGCCTGTACCCAAAAAGTAACTAGCCCTAAACCCAATGATGTCAACTCTTGACTAAAAAAGGAGGTGTTTTCCACGGAAAGAATGGCTCTTCAAGGAAAAACACAAGAAAAGCGGGTATTTGGAGCAAGTGTAAGTGTACGAAATATGCCATGGGTAACTCGCACGGAGCCAACTTGCCTACAAAGACTTGCGACGATCGCGGTGCATTTTTCAGCAGAGGTCAGCGCAAAAATCGCGGTGCGCCACAGCAGGCATTCTACAGAAGGCATTCTCGCATTTTTTGGCACCACTTGGCACGCTTCCAGTGGTGCCAGCCGGTGCCTCTTCATTTCTGCACAGCGAAGGGGTGAAACGAACTCATTTGCGGGCCTCGGCGTGCACTGTATTCATTGGCCGCTAAAGACAGCTCTTAGATCTGTGCCATGCTGATTCATCTTTGGGGGCTGGCCATCCCCCCTGGATCTCAGTGCAAGTGCATTTGCCGCTGAGCCATCTCTCGCGCCCCTTGCGCGCCTTGCAAGGCGCGAGGCTCCAAAATGCATTCCCACGCCGCGATTCAAAGGTGGATCGCGCAGCGGGGCTCTCGAACGCCGGGAAATCGAGCAGGGCGGTTGACCCAAGCCCTGCACATTGGGAGGAAGCCACCGGCTCCCAGGCGCAAGAAAAGGTTCCTTCGAAGTTTCCGAACTGGGTCGCATGGATCCGACGCGGTCCAAACATGAGCAGAAATTGCTGTGAAAATGGCACATGGGGGAAAACCGAAATGCCGAACAACTGGAGAAAAGGCTTCCGTGTCCGGCAACCAGCCGCCGCGCCCTGGACGGGAAAGGCGCGGGCACGGGGCTCAGGCTGCCTCGGGCGAAGTTACATTGTACACCTCAACATTTCCTTGTCAATGGTGGTTTCCCGTTATTTTTGTGGAAAAAGCCATGATTCAAATGGGCAAAATGTATCTTTTAAGGAGCCCTGACAAACCTTGCGGATGAACCCCAAAAGATGGGTGTCGCCCCACCCCACACCCCAACCCCCAGTCCCCCCCCCGCACCCACCAAAAAAAAGCCAGGAGTTTATTGGTCGCCCCCCCCCCCCCATCAAACTGGCACCTGAGGCCCTCGCATCAGCAAAGCCGCCGGGCCTCGCGAGACTTCCCCCCCTTTTTTGCAGCCCCCCCCCCACCGAAACCCGCCAAGTTCTGAATCCCTCCTTCCGGTTTGGTGCAACAATCTGGTTTAAATGCACTCTCTCTTTCTCTCTCTCTCTCTCTCTCTCTACCAACTACAGCTATCTCATCTATTTGGATTCTGGCCCAGGTTTGGTGAACTTCCATCAAAATACCGTCCCATCCAACATGGAACCTGACTCGGGGGCCATGGAAGACCATCTTCCTTTAAAAGGGTCCTCTGGTGGATTCATGTTCGTCAAGCGTACCAAAGCAGAAGCAATCCCTAGCACAGACCGGAGGCTCCTGTGAAAGGGTCCTCTGGTTGATTCATGTTCGTCAAGCATACCAAAACAGAAGCAATCCCTAGCACAGACCGGAGGCTCCTGAACGGCACTTGCCCTTTGTTGTGGGACAGCCTTTGTGGCAACGAAAACCTGGGCTGTGCCCAGACCCCCTGCAAAGTCTAGCACTTTGTGGTTTAACGGAAACTAGTACTAACCTAGGTCCTCCAGTAGAGAGGTTAGAATAAGGGTACCAACTTCATTCTGTAGTCTATTTTAGTAGGGGGACCCTCCCCAAAAAGGGCACCGGGGACCTAGCAACCCAAACAACCCAATAAAAAATTATGGGGATGGGTGGGAACCACCAAGAAATGAACCGACATTCGCTTGTGGAGATCCCAATTTGCAAGCCCATAAGGGACTTTCTGGAAATGGGCCCGGAGCGTGCCCTGCTCCGGAACCTCCTCACCTGTGGCTGATGGGAAAAAAACACACATGTGCATATATACACATATGCTACCCCCCCCCCCCCGGGGACCTACCTTGTTGTTGCCTCTCCAGTGCGTGATTTGCCCTTCTAGGGTCTCTCAACAAGGACTAAGACCAAACAGGACTAGAACCAAGAATCTCTCAACTAAGACTAGGGCCAAACTAGGACTGGACTATTTAGCTCTATAATAATTCAAGTAGAACATTATGTTGGAAAGGAAATCCTGTCTACCAATTGTTTTGAAATAGAACAGTCAAGAATTGAATTCCAATTTACGATGGAAATTATGACTGGAGTCTGTCCTTCATTGAAATTCTCTTGAATTTTAGAACTTGAGAATCAAATATTAAGTATAACTAATAAGGAAAGAATCCAGAGGTCCCAAAATTGTTGAATAGTGTGAGTTGAAATGGTTTCTGAATCGTAAAGACAATTCTATTGGAAAGGACATCTTGTGCAACATTTAAGCTGAAATATAATAATCATTATTTAAAGTCTACTTTAAAATGAGCATTGTGTTTGGCATCTTTCAATAGAGAAGAGTTCAGAGATCCCAAAATGTTTTTCACTAGCCCTAGCACTGCCATGGTCAGAAAACACCGCAAAACGCAATGTTGCGTGGTGTTTTCCATACTCAATTCACATCTCCACCAACGACCGTCTCTAAATTTCGAGTTGGTTCTGAATAGGATGTATTTGGGGCTCAATCCAGAAATACTTGTTCAGAACCCTACCAAAGTTTACATCTTAAGTTTGGAATTTAGATAGAATTCCTTTCCAGAACTTTACAATTCAATTGGATTGCAAACAGAATTTGATAAGGACAGAATCCAAGCCTGTACTTAAGATTCAAGGGGTTCAAGATCCAAAGTCTTCTCTGCAAACTCGAGTCCAGGCCCCGTTTGAAACCGACTGAAATTTCATCAAGAGCACCTAGAAAAGATTGGCCTGCAATCTGGAATCTGGGACCAGGTTTAAACAGATTGAACCGGATTTAAAGTTCCATCTGGCCTGGGTTCAAGATCCAAGATTCAAGACTCCCTGGAAAAGTGTGGCTTGTAATCTTGAATCTGGGCCTAGGTTGAAAAAGATTGAAAGAGATTGACATTTAAATCTAGGCTTGGATTCAAAATTCTCTGGAAAAGTTTGGCCTGAATTCTTGAATCTTGAATCCGGGCCTAGATTTAAAAAGATTGAAGGATATCAAAATTTAAATCTGGGCGTGGATTCGAGAATGTTGGAAAAGTTTGGCCTGGAGTCTTGAATCTTGAATCTTGAATCGAAATTTCAATGGGCCTCGATGAAAACCGACCGACATTTGAATCGTGCCTGAAGCTTCCAGAATGTCCTTGCTTGGAAATACACCCCTTTTTTTACTGCTTTCCCGAAGCCTCAAAAAAAGGCAACAAACACTGCAAATACCAGTGAATTCTTCAAAATAAGATTTAAAAAATGGTAGGTCCCTTTGCGGGGGGTCCATAAATAAATATGTAGAGGTATGTGTATAATATATATATATATGTGTGTGTGTATATATACAACAAACAAAATCGGACCCAACATGGGGTCCCTTTGGGTCCCTTTGGTGGCGGCTTACCCCATCATCCCCACCGCGTTCACAGATACAGGACAAATAACCGAGGCCCGCACACCATGACGTTCCCCTTCCGGAGCTGCTCGTACCGCCCGTCCTGCGGATGTCTTATCAGAACTCGTGGCTGGTTTCGTCGGCTGAAACATCGAGCGAACTTGTGATATGGCCAATCCCCACTAAAATAGACTAAAATGGGTGGTGCACCTACCCCAATGTGGTACCATTGGTTTTGACCCACAGCCATATCTATCCCCCCTTGGCTTCCTAAAAAGGGAAATCGAACATGTTATACGCCTGGGCAAAGTGATGGATCCCCCTGCACGCCTGTGTTTTCCTCGTTTCACCGCGTGAGCTCGATGAAGAACTTGCCCACGTCTGCCAGTTGCTGAGGGTTCACAAAACGTAACCATTGTATGAACCCATGGTATGAAGCCCTGGTTTACTGCCTCGTGAATTTTCAATTCAGGCTGAACTCTGCGAATTCAGGGCCAAGTTTTTGGAATGGAAGACTCATTCTGAGTGAAGCAGCCCAGGCCCAACTTCGAAACAAGCATAACGGGAGACCCAGGCAGGAAGTTCAAAATCAACACCTGGTACCACAAGGGTCCAAGGCCTAGGGTAAAGGATCAAAAAGCTGGAATGTCCGCACCTGTTGATGGGACTGTCCCCCTCTAAGCTTCACTAACCCGAATCGCTGTTCGATTGCATCCCGCCTGGGAAGCAAGAAGATCTGTACCAGTTAACTTGGGTTCGTCTCAAAATGGGCGAACTCCTAAAATGAGCGGTTTACATCTGGTTTGCCAAGAAAAGGCTCCATCCAAAAGGGCTCCAAAAAAGGAACTCCTGGAATGGCTCCAAAAGGGAGCTATCCAAAAAACGAACAGCCACATATATCCAGGCGAGTGAGCTCCGATGGTTTCTTCCTCCGGGGAGGGGGAGGGGGGGGGGCCAACATGTGAAAACCAAAGGAGCAGGTCGAAAAACCGCCCAACCTGGACCCACATCACCCGCAGAGTTTGTTTTGCTCAAACGAAAACCGCCCCCCATTTTGCCGACAAAAAAGGGAACATGTGCTGAATTGCTTCGAGTCTGGCCCTCCTTGCACCGGAGACTACCGACCCAACAGAAATTTAGATTTCTCTCCAAGTGGGGACCTCAACATGAGTTGGTCCCTTTGCCCTCGCAAACAGAACAGCACAATAGAGCAGCATCAAGGCCAGAAGTAGTGCTTGGCTGTCCCTTTCAAACCTGCCCTCTTCCCCCCCCCCCCCCCACAAAAAAAAAAAAAAACGAATAAGGCAAGTTGTCCATCGCCTTTCCAAAATCACCCGACCACACGCTTGACGCAGCTTGCAGACGCGGCCAAAGCGAACCGCGTCCCGCAAAAACGGGGCAAAAGGGACCCGTGGGGCCTGGCGGCATAAATGAAATGACCCATATAGACCATCCCCTATGGTATCCTTTTCGGGCATCCCGAAAACCGGTCCCGGGAGGTCCATGTTTTGTGCGAGCAGCAGGAAAAGGAGGCTGACCCCGGCTTTAAGCCAGATCGGGTGAACGGAAAAATAAATAAATAAATAAAAACGCGAAAAGGGCGCAATCCCCGCATTTCCGGATCCTCTCTTTAAACGGGGAGAGCCGCCCCCCCTCTCGAAATCAGCTTGATTTCCCCGGCGCTCTATCCACACGTGTCAAATCCTTGCCCTTTGCTCAGAGCCGAGTGTATTTTCACTCTATTGAAGATGCGTCAACACGTGTCAAATCCTTCCAGCCCTTTGCTCAGAGTTACAAGGTGCATTTTCACTCTATTGAAGATGCGTGTGTCTTTTTTGGGCTAATCCCGAAATGGCCAAAGGAATGGACCCAAGGCCGTGTTCCCGCGGAAGGCCTCTGGCCCCACTTTCACCTCCGGCTGCTCCTCGCCTCGCAAAGAGAAGCTGAAAGGCTGGCTGCTCAGCAGGCTATGAGGGAATGACCCCACAAAACACCATCCAACTGGCATTCCCTCATTCCTATTGAGCAGCAAGCAACGCCGAGATGAGACTTTGTTGACCGATTCTAAATGGGGAACCTACCAAACACAAATCAAGGTGCTGTTACAGGGTGGAATCCCAAAAACAAGTGCAAAAGATGCAATGGGGATCCTATCGCAAAGTCATTTAGAGACTAGAATCCCAAGAACTTCCGGCTTTCCAGGACTCGGCTGCCAAAGGACTCTGGCTGCAAAAAATGCGCCAAGCTTCAAGCACTTCGCCGAAAACGTGCCGCAAGCGTCATCAACCCAGGCATGAACAAAGGAGAACTGCCCAGCGAAGGCTTCAAGGGATCTCCAAAGGGGGCGACAAAACGGATCGAACATGCCAGCGCCAACGGCTTCGCGTTTTGTTTTTTTCAAGGAGACAGTTTGACGATTCCCCCTCCCAACTTGGAAAATGCAGAGCAAAAAAAAAAAAACGCACGCCCGCCCAAAACCTGAAAGAGTCCTGGATAGAGAAAATGGTCTTCCAAGATAAGCCCTTGCAACTGGTGGGAGGGCTACCCAGCCCGCGTTTTGCAAGCTTCGGGTTGCGCTCGTGGAAGAAAAAACATCGGCCTCCGAAAACGGGAACCGAAGGCATCGACGGATTCAGTGGAGTGGGATGCCCGCTACGGATCCGAAGTTTGCCTGCCATCCCCAAACTGGGAGCTGGGCTGTCAGCCTGCCAAAAGTGAACAACTTTTAGTGGGTAAACACTACAAAGCTGAAAACTTAAGGGGATGGCTGGGAACCACCGAGGAAGAACGTCCTTGCCATCCTGCCCGCAATCCACATGCATAGACTCAAGGGATCTCAAGGACTCATCGGCTGTCCATTCGAATCGGGTTAGGAGCGGCTCATTTTCTGCACATGAGGTTTCGAACAGTTGGCCTTGGTGTTCAACCCCCGACCTTCACGAACCCATGCGGATCAAACGTAGGTTTGGATAGGAGAAAAAAAAAACGGGTCCTCAGCCTTTTCAAGGCCCGTAGGCCCGTAAGCCAAGTAACCGCCGCAGGACCGCACTATCCCACAAGCCCCCGCCCTCTAAGGGGCCTTCTCGTGGGTAGTAATCAGTTTGCATACCCCAACCACTGGGTACAGCTCGCACCTGGCTTTGTCTTTTTTAGGGCACCCCTGAAATTCTTGCGTTTTCCTTGTCTAGGTCCTCCAGTAGACAGGTTAGAATAAGGGTATCAACTTCTTTCAGGACGTCTATTTTAGCAGACGAAAACCCTCCCAACCAAAAAAGTTGGTGAGAAAGGGTACCTAGCTGGGGGACCTACTTGTGGTTCCCCTCGAAAACCAATTACATAGCTTTCATTTGCTTAACTTAAGCCCCCCGGAAAAAAATGAACATATGTCCAGTAGTCATAGTTTCCCTTTAAAACCAACAGGGGAAAATAAAAAGGTATTCTTATAGAACCAAATGGAAGAGCCCCTCCCCCCAACCCTCCCCTTCATTCATTTCAGCACATGGGAAGATAGGGGTACCAACTCCAAAGAAAACGGCCCCCCGACCTGGAGAATTCCCGAATTCCCCGCGCCTTCCAAGCGGGCAACCTCCGCCATCTCAACCTGGCTTCAAACGTTTTGCCCTGGGCTTTGCATATACCCTCCCGCCAGCGATTCCATGGGTTCGCGCAAAAAGACCCCTGTAGAAAGACGACAGGCTCCTCTTGGAAAGTAGTCTTTTTGCACTTCCATGTTAGTTGGTGGGAGTGTAGATGTGAAGGGCATGTTATGGGGGGGGGTAAAAAGGGTTTGGGACCAAAAGCAAACCCACCAGTTTGTGGGGTCCCCTTAATTGATTGTCACACACCCTTGCTTAGGGGGGTGAACGAAAGGTAGCTATCTCTTGGCACGAACCCTTGCTTTTTTATTGGGTGAGTGGATGGGGCGGCTGGTAGCCACAAATTGGCAGCCGCAATCAATGCAAATCGAATCAACACCCCACCCCCCAAGCCGGCCCAGCCCCAGCACTTGCCAAAGCAAGGAGAACTCAATGCTAGCAGCATAGCTAGCTTTCGAGATGATGCTCATGTGAGTCACATTCAAGAATAAGAGATGTGTGAAACGAGCAGTACAAGACGAAGATATCCCTATCTACTTCATCCCCCAGTACAGGAAATCCAGGGGTCCCCCGCTTCCCCCAACTCCACTGTTTTTTAGGGCCGGGGTTGAGGGGGTATCAATTGAAAGTGTCACTCTTAGGCTTGAAATGGCCACCAAACTCCCAACTTAGGCGGAACAACTTTACCCAACATGTCAAACGCTCCGAGATGCAAGCAACTCCCGCTTGCAACCCCGGATGTTGTTCAGGCTTACCAGGATGGCCCACCAAACCAGGGACTGATGAACCTACGAGAAGCCAGACGATCAGGGGCACCTCTGAGACCCAAAAAACCGCGTGAAACTCCAACTACGTGGTCTGCAGGGCGTGCAAAACCAAGTCGAAAGCTGCATCACCAAAGTTGTGGCCCACCCGAAAACCAACGGAGAGCCAACGCGCCTGTCTTGGCTCAGCCTCCGCTGGCTTTACAACCATCCGCACCTCAGCTGAACATGTGGCTGAACATGTGGCATGACAAAGGCGCAAAAACATCGAGGTTGGCGTTCCAAGCCCAAAAGCACAGGCTAAGGGTCCGAAAAGGGAAAAAATAGACTTGTAGCGGAAACCCTGTGTGTGTTTTGGTTGAGGGGAAGCTGCTAGGCAACCACCATTGTGAGATTTGGCTGTCTTTCTTCAGGGGACCCCCCAAATTGGTGGGTTCCGCTTTTGTTCCCGTTTGAAACCACGCAAGAAAGATAGGCCGCAAAGGAAAGGCACCTTGTGCTGTTGATTGCGGGGGGGCCTCATAGGGAATGCCCCCCAGAAATTGGCACGCGGCAACTTGCGGATGGACAGGCTGTGTGGATGGGCGAAATCCGTTCGCACCACAAGCTATTCAACCGCAAAGTGTGTTGGTAGATTTTGTCCCACAGAAGAACAAATGCCATACTTCTGACCCCAAATTCCCCACCTGATCGCTCGACCGGAAATGTTGGGGCAGGAGATGTGCACGAAAACAAGGGTGTATCCATTTTCTTGTGGGCCTAGATTTGGCATGGTTTTGTTCACAACTTGTGGAAGCCCCATTTGCTGGTTCTCTGCAATGAGGCAACGACCCTGAACTAAACCATCCAAACTTGTGATTTCCTTGAAGCAAGTTCGCCCGTCGAGAATATCGCATCAAAAGTCCGTTCCAAAAAGGTCAGCTGCTTGTCGCACAGTGGAAATACCTAACACACAAGGGCTGAAGACCCAACCAAATTGCAACCAAGTGCTGTAGGATCCCAGATCCCCGTTCTGCTTTCGCGTCGGGACCCTCAAGGAGTCAGGTTTGCTCAAAAATGAAGCTGATGCCGCCCAGACTCCAACCCCCTCCAATCCCCAGTCCCGTCGGGACCCTAAGCCCTGAACCACTCCACCCCCCTTTCAGTAAACCTACTGACCCCCCTTGGACTTGGACCAGAGGTCTCAAACCTGGAAAAACCAACCACAGCCTAGGAGCACATCTGAAAAACTGTTCAGATTCTATTTGGAATTCAGTCAACCCCTACCCAAACAAAAAGATCAGTCAACCCCTACCCCAAACAAAAGATCAGTCAACCCCGAACCCAAAAAAAAAACTGTCAACCCCTACCCCAAACAAAAGATCAGTCAACCCCGAACCAAACAAAAAAAAAAAAAAAAAAAAAAAACAGTCAACCCCTACCCCAAAACAAAATCAGTCAACCCCTACCCCAAACAAAAGATCAGTCAACCCCTACCAAAAAAAAAAATCAGTTCACCCCCACCCCCCCCACCCCCAAAAAAAGGGGGGGGGGTCAACCCTTACCACGAACAAAAGATCAGTCAACCCCTAGCCCAAAAACACAATCAGTCAACCCCTACCCCAACAAAAAGATCAGTCAACCCCCACCTCAAAAATAGATCGGTCAACCCCTATTTCCCCAAAAAAAGGATCCGTCAACCCCTACCCCAAACAAAAGATCAGTCAACCCCTACCCCAAACAAAAGATCAGTCAAAAGAAAACTACCCCCCAAAAAAATGATCAGTCAACCCCTACCCCCCCCCAAAAAAAAAAAAAAAAAAAGATCGGTTCACCCTCACCCAAAAAAAAAGTCAACCCTTACCCCGAACAAAAGATCAGTCAAGCCCTAGCCCAAAAACAAAATCAGTCAACCCCTACCCCAACAAAAAGATCAGTCAACCCCTACCCCAACAAAAAGATCAGTCAACCCCTACCCAAACAAAAAAAAAGTGAGTCGACCCCTACCCGAAAAATAGATCAGTCAACCCTTACCCCAAAGAAGGATCTGTCAACCCTTACCCCCCCCCCCCCCCTCCCCCCCAAAAAAAATATATGGAGGAGACCCCTGCCTGCCACCCCAACCCCACCTGCGAAGGCTTGTCGAAGGACGGTGGCTCTACCTGGCTACCAAGGCAAGCTTACCTATCAACGTGGCAAACCGGAGGTGTTGAAAACCACCAAAAAAGATAATACACAGAACTCTGTTTGGGTTAGTGGCTCAGGGGACATTGATTCAAGAGGAACTGTAAACCAACGGATGGACAAAACTCCACTTTGCACCAGTTGGGATGAACCTGGACCCCTGCCCCACAAAAAAAAAGCAAAGAACAACAACCAATGTTGTCCATCCATGTCATGTCAAAACTGGACGAAGTCTCAACCTCTTCTAGGATTCGAAATGGTGCGGCAGGCCCTCAGGCTCCGCACAGAATGCAAAAACCCTGCCAAGTAGGGAGAACCCCCCGCCGGGTTGAGAGCAAGAGAAACTGTAAGAAAGCGAAACAGGTCTGTTTGGATTGTGTCTGCAGGGAAGCTGCAGTGAAAGAATACATCTGTTTGAGCGGCCGCGAATCACTCAGTGAAATCCCGGTTGATCAATACCCTTTCTGAAGATTCACAGAAAGCATCCTCCCATTAATGCCCCCCACCCGGAAAAAAAACGAGAAAAAACAAAACGAGTCGGTTCATCGAAGGTTTCTGATCGAAGAAGAAAAACTTGGAAACGTGGACCCTCGGAGCTCAACCAGACCTGCCATCCAAGCAAGAACATCCAGCGGATGGTTGCGACATCTATGTCGCATCACCTGACACCACCAGAGAATGATTCGATTTCCCTGAAAAAAATCAACGAAAAATGGTGTCAACCATGGGTTTTTGAAGTTGTGCAGGATTTTGGCCATCCACAGTATTGCTGGTCTTTTCAAGGAAAATGCCGGAAACCTCTCTAAGGGCAAAGGGGCTGAAAGTGCGCGTGAATCCTCAGGCTTCACTCAAAAAGTGGGACTCCTCACGAGTGGGGAAATGGCATTGGCTTCCTTCCCGTTGCCAAAAGAGCGGAAAAGCAGCTCGGGTAAACCAAGCTTCCGTGATATTTCTGTTAGAAACACTCCCCTGTAGGTGGGGTGCAAATTCGTTTGACGTCAGAACACTCTGTTTTGACCACAAACTCTAAAAACGCTGTGGCTTCTCTGTTCTTTTGACACTAGGGCTGCTTTTTTGACACCCGGAGCATGAAATTCAAGAGGCCAAAGAGAGACTCCTCAATCGCTGGCAGTCGACCACGTGGCCACAAGGAAACCAGGCAGGCCATGGACTCCCAAAGCCCGGGCCTTGAATGGGGATCCCTCGAAAGGTGTTTCTTGGGAGGAGAGGGAGAGGGGCCAACCCCCGCAACTACAAGAGACAGACATAGAGCGCCACTCATTTAATACCACTTATACAGACTCAACTCAGGGCTGGGATGAAACAAAGACTTTGATCTCAGTCAGAAAAATAGCTAACGGGAGCGATGAGTCCCCTAGATTGGCAAAGCCACTTTGACCAACAGAACTGGTAAACATTGCTTTCCCCATTCCACCGTGTCACGTAATCTTTGCGCGGGAAAAAGAACTGGTTGAGAAACAAGGGGCATCCGCTTTTGGTGAGAATCGTTCGCTTTTGTGGGTGACACCAACAAATCTCGCTGTACTAGGATGGGTTTATGAATCTGGAGTTATTTTTCGCTAACCCCAAGGTGGCTTGCCCTGGTACGAAGGCAACAGGGTTGCCTAGAATCTGCGGTTGCCGGGTTCCATACCCACCGAAAAGGTGCTCCGGCCTTCTGCCCTTCGGCTATCCTCCTCACGTCCTGCAAGAAGCTTGACACCTGCGAGCCCCGAGTGGTCACCGGAGTCCATTGGGGACAAGGAATTGGCTGACCGTACAACAAATGGTATATAACTTATGTAACACACGCACACAAACACACACACACACACACACACACACACACACACACACACACACACACACACACACACACACACACACACACACACACACACACACACACACACACACACACACACACACACACACACACACACACACACACACACACACACACCCACACACACACACACGTCAAACATCTTTGCTTGAGCATGCTGTTGACCGGGCAGTGGCCATGTTGCTCCCGCCGGCAACTACCTGGACATCAAAACTTGGACCTTGCGGACCTCCGCGCAATCGGGAAAGCGCAGTGAAGGCCGCTCACAGAATTCGCCGTGCCATTTGAGTGGCACATGGGCCCTTCCTCTTGTCAAGCGCCCAATGGAACATCTTCCCTTTTGGGGCCCCATGCACCCCAAGACAGCTTAGGCATTCGCCAAAATCGCCCGCCTATTGACTGGGGTTGTGCTACCCGGTTCGAGTTGCTGCCCGGTTTGGCGTGCTCAAGGAAGGCCAAAAGGAAACGACCCATTTTGGGGGGAGGTCCCCATCTGGAGACAAACCCGCCATCGGTCGCAAAACTGACCGACCAAGATGCCTATGCGTCCGTCCACCATCCGTCCCCGTTCATCGAATCAGGGGTTGCAACCTCTGGTTCTTCAGAGTAAATGGGAAACCGTTTCCAACCTCCAGAACCACCAACTAGAGGGAAGCTGAACAGATCTGACCTGGGGGGAAACACGCATGGAACCCTGGTCCCAACCAGATCTTTTGCAAATCGAAGTGTTTGAGGCTATTTGTTGCCTCGTGACCCATTGCCTGAGCGTGTCTCCCTGGCACGCGGAAAAGGAATGACAGGAAAAAACGAATGAACGAAGAACATACGAAGAACACCCAAATGAAGCTGAAATTGAAGACTGACAAGGTGGTTGACGGTGAGGCATGCAAGAGGCAGCATTCGCCTTCACGGAACCCCCCCTTTAGAGGAAAATGTCTGTGTGTGTGGTTGCTTTTCCCCGGGGCAAGTCAGGAATTCTGGTAGTTGGGGGGAGGCAGTGACCTACTGAGTCGACGCAAGCAAAAAGTAATTCGGGACCCCGAGCGTGTGTGAGGGGGTATGGGTGGATGCCTCACTGTTTGCAAACCGTTCATTTGTGTTACGTGTTTGTATTTGCTTGTCTTTCTGTCTATTTGATGGCCAGCTTGCCAAGCAAAACGAGCTCACCATGATGTATGTCCTTTACCACTGGGGGCCATCCGCTAATGGGAACCTCAGATTCATAGACCCATCCTACTACAGGGGTGTCGTCCACAAAAGTGATGGATCCCCTCTTAAACGGGACCCCCCTCATTGATCAAACAGGGGTTTAGCAATCCGGGGTTGACCTTCACCCTCCCCTCCCTGCCCAAAACTTGCTCAAGGTATTCCAACCAGGGTTCTACTTTTTGACTACCCTCAAATAAACTTAAACCCAGGGATGGGTCATGTACCCCAAAAAGGAAACCCCTGGGTTTAAGTCTAACCAAATTTGGGTCACGAACCCAAGAAGTCAAAAAGTAGAACCCTGATTCCAACGATTTGAGAGGAAAGCGCTCCAATGGGCCGTTTGGCAGCACGGCTGAGTTGAAGGCTGGACCCTATTTGGCTGTGGCTCAAACAACCGGAATTCCAAAATGGAACCCTGGTAAGTGGAAAGTAGACTAAATCCTGCGTAACCCCAGCTGTTTAATTTTGAGTCACACCCATTTCCACCCCATCCGCATTTGCGCTCTTTGTGCAAGGCCGCGGGGGAGTAAACAGGCGAGCAGCGGAGGCGCGGTTCCATGGTGGGGCCACCCACTATGGGTGCTGGTCACATGTTGCTCTTGGGGGTGGACCCCCGACAGACTGGACAAGCTCCTGCCCCAAACACCGAATCACCCGCAACACGCTGTGCAACAGCACATGAACCACACCACCATGAGTCACACGCCTCCCTCCAAGGGAAAAAACTCAACTTTCGGACCCTTCCCGGCACCTCGCTGAAGTAGGCGCGCATGTCGGTTTCCACCAGGTCGTTGTGCCCTGCAAGCCCAAGCCGGCTTCAGGTGACGGGTGATGGGTCCCTTGGGTACTTGCCTCCCATTCCAAACCTTCGATTCGGATGGCGCGGGGAGCAAGGCCCGCACAAGCGGCCCCCTCTCACTTGAATAGCCCTAAAGGTTCCAACGGCTCTGGGAAAACGCAAACTGCCCCGTGCTCATTAGCAAGCGGAGAATCCATACCCATCAGAGAGCTAAACAAAAGTTACACTTCAGGTTATGGGTTCCACTTGTCTTCCCTCTATATACTTGGTTGTTTGGGTTTGGATTGGTGGTTTGGAGGTTACGGGGTGGTTTCTCCTTTGCCCCACACACAAGAACCGGGGGGTCAAATCCCCGAACCACCAAACCAAACCGCGAACCAAGGGCAGCCTGAACTTACCAATCAGCTCAGCGAACCCACCTGCGCGGGCGGGGAAGTACGCCGGCCAGCGGTGCTGCTTTGGGCAGGCCTGAGGCAACAGGCCTCGTGAGGCCCAAGGGGGGAGGGGGGGGGGCGTTGGTCTGGACTCCGCCTTCAACTTGTATTCTTACAGGGGCATTTGGAAAAACATGGATTCCACGGGAGAACTTGAAACCAAGCTGAAACCTTGGTGATTCGTTGGTCCCTTGGTAAAAGTTAAGACTTTAAGGGATGTTGCAGAGATCCCCCGATACATCTAGAAGTGTGAGGGTGTGGTTGCAAATCGCCAACAGGTGATGGTCGGACCTTTTGTTGGATGGTGTCCTCGGGTTTTGGAGTCACTTTTACTCGGGGTCGGCATGTGCTGTTTGGATTGTTTCTCAGCGTTTTCCACTTCTCGTTATTTGTTGGATTCTCCCAGGTTGTTTTCAATAGTTTTCCAGTTTTGTTGTCCAATCTGCCCCGTACCCTTTCAACGTGAAAGTGGGCAGCTAGAAAACATTTGGAGGAAATCCCATGAATCCGCGTTGATTCACCTGATGGCAGCGCTCCACCTTCCCCCTCCCGCCGTGCTATGATGAACAGGTAAAGGCTAGGCTGCACCGACATCCTAAAGCCATCAACGGGCCCTGGATTCATCAAAACCTGCATGGTTGATTAAGAGAGGAGTGTCCCAGCTTATTAGAGGGCATCGTTCACATATGAAGAAAATCCCCAATAATCCGCCAGGCTGATTGATGCAACATCAACATTGCATCAAAGAAAGAACCAGTGGCAAAAAATGAAGAAACAAAAGAACAAAACACGAGGTGGCCCATGCATCAGCAAAAAAAGACCAAAAAAAAAAAAACTCCCGGCAGCCGCCTTGTGCAAACGAAAGCCGTGGTAGAAGGGGATGATGTCGTCCCTTTGGCCGTGCATCACGAAGAGCGGGCACAGCAACTGCCGGACCCGCCTGACTGCGGGGGGAACCGCTGGGAAGCTTGCCTCTCGGCCTCTGGGCCTCAAAAGGCCTGTCCAAAAAAAAGGCGAAAGCTTGCCTCAAGGCCTCCCGCTGGCTTCAGAAGGCCGTCAAGAGGCGTCAAAAAGAAAGAAAGGAAGAGCGAAAACACGGGGCTTGCCGCTGGTTTCCGCAGCTTTCCGGTTTGGGATCGAAACCCCATGGGAAGAAACAGGACGCCTTACTCAAATGGACCCATCGTGAGGCAAGAGCGCGGAGTTCGGGGCTACTCGGAAAACTCGGAACCCCCTGTGAAAAGTAACAACTTCTTGCTGGTTGAAAGCGAACATGGGAAAACGGGAAGAAGAAAAACGAAAAAGCGAAAAAAAACACAAACAAAAAGGGCACCTAAGTCTGGCAGTCGCCTTTTTGTTGGCTGGCTGACTTTCAAGAACCGACCAAAGAGTGCCAGCGTGCCACTGGGTGCCTTCCCTCTAGGTAACACAGTCAAGGTGACGAATGTGCAGAGCCTGCTCCGCAGAACATGAATTTCGAGGCTGGCAGTATGTAGCCCCCTTATGCTAGCCGTCTTGAGCACAATTGAAGTATGATCAAATCTTGGCGCTGGTTCTGCACCATGTGAAGAATTGAAAGGACGGACGCACCTACTTATGGGGGCCTCGACTGCCAATCTTCATCTACTCACTTCCTGCGGCTCGTCAAAAAAAGTCTAGACATGTTGTTTTGACCGCAAAATGGCCTTCCAAAAAGCATAGCACTTATGAAACTTTGGCTCACTGCGGTGCGGTTCAATCCTCTGTTCAGCTGCCAAGTGAAGACACAGACTAGAGTTTGACTTGTCCTGCTCAGGTTCTCAGAATGAAGAAAACCCAGGTTCAGGTCCCTGATGATTTCTTCTTGGCGATTTGGCACGTTCCAACACACATCCTTTGCACCCGTACCCTGGGCTCCTCAACATCTGTTTCTCTCTTGGCTTCCCTTTCAAAGGTGGGAGCGTCTTTACTTTCGACGGCATCCCTTGGTGGTTTTCAAGGGGGGAATACCATCAACCTTTCTCAGGAGGGGGGGTACCCAAATAGTTTTGGGACCCGGAATTTCCCTCGGTTGCTTTCTGCTCCCCTGCTAAAAGTCTAAGTCTTAGCGGTTTAATGAAAAACCCATTAGTTGGCAAAAAGTTGTTCAGTCCTAACATCCCTTGGCAAAATGCAGCAAAGCTCCTTGGGGCCCTGCTTCGGTTGTCCACGCAGACCATCCGCCGCCAAAAAAAAAATCCGCCGGAACGGCGCGCCGGGGCCCCGGGCCGGTCGTTGGGGTAGAAGTCGAAGCAGCTCCAGACGCAGCTGGGCCGGCAGCAGGCGTCCGGCTTCGGGTCCACCACCTCCCCCGAAGGCAAGAGACGAGGACAGCGACGCGGCCCGAGTTTTAGAGGGACGACAAAAAGAAAACGTCATGGACATATGCATACCAAAAAAAGAAGACGTGTATGCATGTGTAGATATCGATATATATATATATATATATATATATAGAGATATGGATATAGATATGGATATGATGCGATGTTGAGGGGGGGTGCATAAGATATGTATTGTGCTACACACACACATACATAGATATATATATATATATATATATATATTCGTACAGCCGTACGCGCGCGACGGCTGTGCGGTTTTCTTGAATGTATAGATGTGTAGATGTGCGTATGTATTCGGGGGGAGGGGGAGCTTGGAGAGAACGAATGATTGACGCCAACCTCCACAAACAAAAAGAAGTTGATCTCCTCAGTGGTCATTTCAAAGGGTGGTTCAAATTTCCCAGCTTTAGCTGAAATCAAGTGGGGAAGGCACCCTCTAAGATCTACCTCCGAACAGCCTTTTCTTGTTGTTTAACGGGAAGCCACATGTTTTGCTTTGGGGGGCTCCCCTAAAGAGAGATATGGGGGATTTTCGTGGTATTGCCGGTGCTGCAACTTCCCATTTTGGGGGGGTCCCCTGTTTAAAGACGCACCCACTGGATGCGCGCCTGACATTCTTATTGGTCGTTTTTGGTGGTTTCTTGTTCTATTTTTGCGTCGGGGGTGGGGAGCCCGCCCGCCCAAGAACACGTTCAAGAAAACTGCGGGTCAGGCGCCGGTTTCTCAAAATCAGGGAATCCCCTGAGCGACAGAAAGCCAGCAATTTCCAAAAAAGAACCCATACTGTGGTATCCAGAAAACAAAGCAGCTTTGTTTGGGAGGACGAGGGAAAGCGAAGGGAAACAAGTGGGAAATTGATTAACCAACAAGCCAGGTGAGCCACCTGTTGGGCCTACCCCCACCAAAAAAAAGAAAAAAAACGTATATAATGCCTTAAGAGAGTGATGCGTGCATACAATCGTTTCGCTCCGTATATAAATCCCTGCACTTCCTCAAGCACAACTACCGGAATCTCCAAGAAAGGACCCTTCGTGGGTGCGATGAACCTCTCTGACTGTATCGTTTGGGGGCGCGCTTTGTGTCCATTGGCGGCTCAATTGTATCTGCGCACGGGCTCATGCCAAAACTTGGTTGTCGTTGGGAAACATTTTACATGTTTGCTTATTGTGGTTCAGTGGGAAATCCCCACTTAACTGCTAAATTCTAAAAATTGTTTGCTGCCCTTCCAACGTCAACCAAGAAAAGGGGGCACCCCTCAAAGAAAGACATGCCCAGGTGACTTGGCACCTGCGTACTTTCGAGACAAAGGCAAACAGATCGGGCCCCTACTGCTTCACAAGGAAGCTCGGAGATTCGGACACAAACCGGCCCAACCAGCATAGCGAAATTCATGAAAACAGCTCGCGAACAAGCAAAAACACATTTACCCTCCCACCAATGAACATGGTGACAGGGGGTCCCCCCTGTCAGGTTTAACTGGTAGGAGGGTACAAAAAGACCCCAAACCTTCTACATCAAAAACTTGGGAAAAAGGAGGTTCTGGCAGATAACCTCGTTTTCGAATCCAAACCCTGGTTTTCGGACACTGCGTTTTAGATTGCGGCACGTGGCCTACCGGGTTTTTACTAGTTCTGAAATACAAGACCTGGCTTTGGGAACCAAAGCCCGGTCTTGAAGGCGAAATGGCTGGAAAACCAAGTTCTCGAGACAGACCCTCCTTTTGTGCGGTTTTGATTTACAAGGAAAAAGCCCAAAGGACAGTCGTCGCTTGCAGGCGCCCACCGGCGCCTTGATTCCAGAAAGGAGTGGCCTCGCGCGAGAAGGGGAGCCCGAGAACCACTCGGAAAGTCACAACCCCACTCGCCCTTCCCTTAAAATTCTAGGGTTACCTTCCCCATTCTTTCCAGGATCCTTCTTTTCAGGAAACCATCAAAAAACCAGGGAAACAGCTGGTTGTTGAAAAGAACGATGATTGAAAGGGATATGGGGAATCAACCCCTGGGTTAATGTGTCAAAACAGGGCACCCCCAAGTGGTGGTTGTCCTTTTGGCTCCCTTGAGAGCAAGGTGCCCTCCAAACCAACAAGCCAAAAACTAGATGGCAACGTTAGTAAACAAGCGCACAAAACTGCGGTCGGGACCGTGTCAAGGCAGCGTTGCGCTGTTTCATGCCCTACTGGTGTTCCGCAGCGTTGCACGGCCCTTCCGCACTTTCTGCATGGAAACCTGCGACGTCAATCCCACGCATCAATCATCAATCAATCAGGGGAGATTTCCCCGAAAAGTAAAGAATTCCCGCTAAACAGGGGTCACTGGATCCTTTCGACTCCCGAACAAGACAAGCTCCCCCTGTTTCCCCTGTGCTTGCGGGAAAGGGAGACTCAAGCCATTGTGCGGCTCGCAAACTTTTGCCTGGGATGGGATGTGAAGTCAAGATTAGCTATGTGCCGGCAACTTCAGTGTGAAAGCCCGAGACCTATGACCATCCACACGGACCTCTAGGTGCGCATCAGGGGACGAGTGGCAAGCAAGCAACCAAACAAACAAGCAAGCCAATAAGTTAAATCACAACAACACAGATAGCATTGCATCGACTTAATTCTGCAGCCAAATGCAGTGTCTCAGCACGTATTTGCCGCGCTCCCACCTCTCTGCGCCTCGTTTACCTCCGTTTTCCCACGGTTTATCTTTCGCGCTTCACACCTCCGCGGTCCCCCCGGCCCCCCGGTCCCCCGGTCCCCCGGTTGGCTGCCGGGCGAGTGCAGCACGGCGCCGCCCAGCTGCTTCTTCGAGGCCAGGTGGGTGGCCGGGCCACTGGGCGCGGGCTTCGGCTTCGGTGCCGACGTCTCTCTCGGCTTGCGTTGGGTCGGTGAGTCGGGCGATTCGGGCGATTCGGGCGATTCGAATAGGCCCCACTTTCCGGAGAAGGCTATGGTCACAGCTAGCAAATTCCTGGATTCTTCAGCTTCCCGCGTTGTTTGGTGGTTTGGATTGGTGGTTTGGTGGTTCGGGGCGGTTCTATTTGAGTTTGACGTTCGGGCGATTCGACTAAGTCTGGCAGGCCCCACCTTCCGCTCGAAGGGTGTGCGGGTGATATGACGAATTCTGGCAGGCCCCGAGAAGGGGGGCCTAAGGGGGAAAGCCGCCAACTCAAGCCACGTGGGGGGTTAAGGGTCTCCAGAGGTCCATGTCGCGTTGAGGCGATGCAGTGTCCATAAAAAGGTGTTATTCGGGCCTTTCAAGGGAGATAGAAAGATCCAAGACACAAGCTCCAGGCAAAAAACTGCTGCATGAAACGGGCGAGACCCCTTGCTTTGGCGCTTGGTCCATAAATCCTGCTTTGGGGGGAACTGGGGCCTGCTTTGGCGCTTTTCTAGGGAAAGAAAAGAACGGGACACGGAGGGGGATTCGGGTCTTGAAGTGAGGATCTTGCAAAATCGAGCCACGCGTATGAAGCATGCGCATGGTCCTCGTAGCTTCCTTCAGGGTTCGGAACCCCCGAACCCGTTTGCTCATGACTAAGGAGCCCAAGGAAAAACAAGTGCCCGCCAAACAATCATGGAAGCCGGGAGCTTTTTCCAAGACCCAACCAGGGCTTAGATTGATACCCCTGGCCCCTCGCCCACAGAACGCATCCGCATAAACGTTCTCCTCAGGGAAGCAGAGAATTGTCGCCCCTAACAAATTGAAGTGCCCTTTGATTCGTTGTATTGCACCCTGCCCCCTTTCCGGGGAAGCACCTGCGACAGCAGAGGATCCCAAATGGTGGCGCGCTGCAAACAAAATTCTCACGAAGCCCTCTCTCGCTTCCCGAAACGAATCGATGGCTTTGGAAGGGCGGACTCTCACCTGCCGTGCGTTTTTGCAAACTGGTTGCTCCGAGCAGGTCGACTTTTTGTGTCTCACGGCAATTCAGTCGAAGACTGAATTGCCAAGAACCGGCAGCTCATTTCTCCCAAAACCAGTGGCACAGCGCAACAACAAAAATCGTTGGGCCCACACTGGAGTACTTGTGGCTCGCTGTGACTTTTGCTGAAATGTACTCTTTCAGGGAACCCTGGAATAGGCCTTGTTGAATCAACAGGGCGTCCCATTTGAGCGGGAATGGACAACCCTTACTTTTTGAGGGACACTCCTTTTATTTTCCCCTGACCTTTTCTTTACACAAATCCGGGCTTAACACCGAAGTGACACCTTGCCCCTGAAAAAACCTGGCGGGCTTTGATCAGGGGCGATGGCTCGAAAGTGATCCGAAACCTATCAAGGAGGGGCTGCACCACCCCAACAAAAAATAATAAACCAGGGGTTCTGAATCAACGGCACCTGTGACGTTTGGTAGAATGAAGATGGTTCTGAAGATTGACATAGGCCTTGCCTTGCCAGAATCTCCAAAGGTCCTACTGAACAACCAATAGGGGTTTGCGCCTTGCCAAACTGGGACACCATCACACCAACAAGGTTCGAATAGATCTATCTCTTGATGTCAGAGGTTGGGTCGTTCATTTCCAACCAGAAATCACAAGCAACACAAAAGGCAGGCACGAGCGTGAAAAGCCCCGGCTGGCCTGCCCACACTCTGCCCGTACGCAACTATCCTGCGCTGGGCGCTCTTGGATGGGAAGATCCCAAATCCTAATCCCAAAATTCCGTAGGGAAACACAACGACAACAATGGAAAACCTCTTGCAAGAGAAGTACGGATGGACTTTGAGCAACCCAGCTTTGCAGAAAGCAGTGTAAAAGAAGGCAGTTCCGTGCAAAGGATGACAAGCAGCAAGACTCTCAGGGGGCACGAGCTGGCAACTCTTCTTTGTGCACGCTGCAATACCTTTTCGGGCACGCTGCAAGGCAAAAGAGCCCACCAAAGCGCCAAAGACCTGAGGGAAAGCGGGTTGTCCACCATGGAGCTTCTTAAAACTTTGGATCAAGGCTGGCTGAAATCTACCACGGGATGGCCTGTTTTGGTCGACCCTCGTTCTTCCTTTTTGTCCAAGCACCTTTGGTATAGGTGAGGGAGGGAGAGAAAACATTCATTTCTGCGGCTCTCGCAACATGATCTTCTGACATCTGGAGCCGAGGTCACCTTCCCTCTGATTGGTGTCTTGGATTGGTGCCTTAGGGTTTAGAGGCCGGCCATTTCTCCCCTGCAAAGCCCCAAGCTACAAATCCAACCAAGCGCTAGCTTCGCCGCTCGCGGTCGCCGACTCCAAGAGAACGCAAGACGCATGGGTTCCATTGCCGAATGTTCCTTTAAGGTAGGGCTTTAACCCGGCGGCTGTATAAGCCTTTCTTGGGGAAGGATCCAACGACGAGCCCCGTTTTCGCCCATATCGCTCCTCTTCGGCGGCACGCCCACAGACACGAGGTACTCATAGGCCGCCTCCACGTCTGCGTAGGTGTTCGCCGAGCTCGGCCTGCCCCGTACGCAGCGAATCGATTCAGCGGGTGGCACACAAAAGCGCTTGCCTTTTCGAGGACTCGTCTTTTGGGGAACCCCCCCTTCTGTGGGTTCCGTTTTGATCAAGAACTGCTGCCCCTGATGAATACCCCGCTAACTTCAGGGAATTCTCTTTTCAGCCGCGCTGATTGCCACCTGGGTTGCTAACCAAGTACCTCTCTTGATGTCCGAGAAATGGAGGGATCCCCGAAGAGGATCACTGCACCCTTTCAGCTCAATCTAGGCAAGAGGAAGAGCCAAGTCTTTCGGGCACAACTCGAAAACCAAGCAGCCACGACCTTACATGGACCTGGACAGACCCTTGGTGCCCCACGGTCCTCCAAAACGACATCCACCATCCCGACCTCGCAAGCCGCCTGGCCTTCCGGAGGACGCGCCGTAGCCGCTGTACTCCACGCCGCACACCTGTCAACGACGGCCCTTCTTTGGAGACCAAGCAGCGGTCAACCCTCGCCATTCCCAAGGCTCACTCTCCAAAATGGCCTCATGCGCATAAATTACCGGGGGGGGGGGGGAGGGGGGGGAAGAAAAGGGGGGGTGGGCAAGGGGGGGGAAGGGGGGGGGGGGGAGGAATCCTTTGGCGGACGTCATTTACTCCAGGGACATCATATTTACGCCAGGGGTGGGGGGAGGGGGGGGAACCCACCGATGTATTCGCACCAAAACTGTCTGGTGGCTTAATGGCCTCGGGGAGCTGGGCATGCCGACCGATTGCCCCGAGCTCGTTGAAGCGCCACAGGGATCTGTCTCTGGTGTTTGCCCGGACCCCCCCCCCCACCCCAAATTCTGTGGGTCTCCTTTGACCTTTCCTTTGGCACCACCCAAAAAAAACAAAAAAACAAAAAGTAAGGAGAAAAAACCATTGTTTTTTGGGGGTCTCCTTTTGGTTTTCCTTTGACACCACCCAGAACCCCCCAAAAAAAAAAAAGAGAAAAAAAAGAAGAAGAACAAAAAAGAAAAACGACGAGCCCCCCACCTCCGATCCGGCGCCCCTTCCTGGCACCGGGTCCTTCCCGCCCGCACCCCTGCACCCGCCTCGACCCCCAAAACCTTGGCCAGCTCGTAGTAGGGTCCCATCATCATCCTCAGGCCAGTGGCTCCGGCTGTTCCCAAATGGCTGCGGTCAAAAAAAAATGGTAACCCCAAAATGGGTTGCCCTGGTACATGGATACATGCACTAAAACCAGCGGTCCTCTTGGTGGTTTCATTTTGACCCATATCCAAATCCCATCCAACCCCAAAGCACCCACAGCCCCTGAGGGTTGAACCGGCACCCCCGAATCCTTGGGGTAAAAGGTTTAGGGTTTAGATGTAGCGTGAGCTGGGTTCCCAGATCCGCTGGAAGCTTTCTTGACCTTTCGCGGTCCCTGCGAAAACTTGGTGTTGTTGTCGTTTTTGGGGTGGAAACTACCCCACCAAACCAACTGAAAGTGAAACAATTAAGGAACGAGTATGCATGCAGAAAAATGACGGGACGAATTCCTTCAGGCCTCAGGCTGCACTTCCTGAGGCAGGTGAAAAAGAGCTGGCCAACCACTTGACTCATGTAAAAAAAAGTACGGGGCATTGCTTGAACAAGCTCCTTCCTTTCAAGGGGGGGCCATCTTCTGGCTGTTTGAAGCCAATTTGGTTCATGTGGATGCGCCCACACAATGGGCCCATCTTGGGAGGCCGTCGGGATTCGGGACAGGTCCTTTCCCGGAAAGTCCCGCGAATGAACAGAAGCCCAAGCGGCCCGATGTCCGTCGCATTGCCGTGGCAGTGCAGCAAGACCTGGAGACCCACGTGGCCAACGGCCCTTCCCCCCGCCCTCATGTTCCGTTGCAACCCTCTTAGATGATGGTTACACGGCCAAGCACCCGCAAGGGTGCTAAAAATGGACTCCCTCCCCTTGGCTGGTTCCAACTTACAGGGAATACCCTTTTGGATCCATCTGGGAGCCTTGGAAGTGCCAAAAAGTCAAAAGGTCGATTTGTCGCCCTAGTCTTGCTCCCGCCGTGTTTGCCGCGTCGGCTTTCCCCAGTGCGTGAAGGGGCAGGTTGCCCAGGAACCCCAGAAAGAACCAAAGGACACTTTACAGATCTGAAGAGGAGAAGTGCCCTGCAACAGTTGGGTTAAGATTCCGTGTACATATATTTACACACATATGTTCATATAAATATGTCAAGTGTCCGTGTCCTTGATTTATGGACACCAGAGCTGCCCAGCTCACAGCCACTGAGTCTCTGAGTGCTGGGCCAATGGCCTGAGGCGAAGGCGAGTTGTGGCGTGCAGCCCGAGCCACTTGAGAGAGTTCGAGCGACTGGGACCTGCTTGAAAACCAACCAAAATCTGGGCTGCCCTCAGATCCCCCGCTGAACGTGGGTTAAATGGAAACTACCACTAAACACGAAAAGGCCAAAAGGCTAAGGGGATGGCTGGGAGCCAAGAAGTAAGCCAAACGCCACAGCCAAGCGTTGCAAGCGGCTAATCTCCACTGTCTGCTCCGAGTGGTTGCGGGAAGTCGAAAAATGAGCTTGCCGGGACTGTGGATAAATCAGCCGTAATCAGAACAATGCCCGTCGTCGGTGGCATGATTCGGTGCTGTAATGCAGCATCCACAAGTGCTTTCTTCGGTCGCTCGGATTCCTCCCGCGACAGGCACGCCTGGCTTGAGCACACGGATTCAAATCGGCATTCTCAGACGGAAAATGCGGTGCGCAGCAGAACACCGCTCACCTGATTGGTTGAACTCAAAGCGGATGGCTCCCTCCCAAGGTGAGCTTCCCTCTAACCTTCGCCCGAGCCATGTCGATGGATTGTGACACGCCGGACACAGCGTGCATCATTTCACCCGTGCTCAAGGCACTTGCCACAACCTGTGCCACACAAACCGTGAGTACTGCTTAAACATGAATGAAAGCTCAAGCAGCCACGTGCCCACCAACCCTTGCCACGCGTTTTTCAGGGGGTTGAGCAGCCTAGTCCAATGCGTAACCCCAGACTGTGGCTTCTGCAAGGTTGGTAAACCTCAAACGCTGACCCAGGAATGATCCCTAGCTGGACTTATCCCAGATCAAAAGAACATCCGCTCCTCTAGCCGCAGTTCAGCTTCCAAACCCGGTGGACGGTTTCGCCGCAACTTCCCCAGGACTTTTCGGGCACGCTCAAGCACAACAACCCCACGCGGGTGGAATCTGAGC